CTCATTTTTATGCGAAATTTGTGTATTGATGGTCAATAACCGACATGATTTCAATTTCTGAGCAACTTTTTGAATTCATAGTCTCCAGCCGTTAGTATGTGGAGAAATTTAGTCCAATCCGGATAAGTTTCTCGTGTAGGAAATCATATTTTCCCTTTACTTCCAGTACAACGTTCTTCATCCAAATTTCGCGGTTTTCTTTGTCATGCAAGAAATTACTTGACTATATTTTGTTTTCAAAATAACTCCTGATAGTTACCAAATCATACAAGAAATGAAATTGGTGCAAAAAGTTCGAAAACGTAACTTTGAAACCAAAAATCATGAACCGTATCAATACTTTTTTGGGATGAAATTCACAGATTTCGCTCTTCCCCCATCATTATTTTTCCCGCTCCCGAAATTTTGAAAAACGACCACCATACTCGAAGTCCTCGATAAATTTCCTAGAAATTTCATTTGCTACATTTGCTTAGTAGCGACTGAAGTGTAGAAAAAGTAGACTTAAATTTTGGCATGGGCCACCGTATACGCACTTTTTGTAGAAAGTGTAGATTTTATATTTGCAGAGGATATGTACATTTAATGACATCTTTTCATAAGGTAAGAATGTCCTTCGGATTTTTAAATGCAATAAATCAATCAATCAATCAATCAATAATGATGACTATATATTTGTACATTATTTAAGTCATGACGGAAAGTTAATTAAATTTTGATGAGCTACTTTTCTGTCATTTTGACACACCCAATGTTTGATTTCTTCAGAACCAAGATCACGAATCCAATCCAAATGTTTGAAATTTCCAGAATATTTACCCGTGTATGTACCTGTGTTAATTTGTAATCAAAGGTCGAGCCAAGGTTATTGGTATTTATTTAGTAACGGGGATCTCCCAACGTACACTCACAGATTTGGACCAAATGAGCATCAATCGACCACAAATATAGTTAGTATGAAATTTGCAAATGGAACTATCTGCCAATAAACAGGTTTGGCGGAGGTATTGGTATATGTAAAAAGAGAAGCAAGCGCACCCTTAACGTTGGAAAATTTTTGATTTTCCAAATATGCTGCCGATTTTCCCGCCTTTGATGCAAATACCTCCACAAAGTCAGCGCATTGGCAGATAGTTCTACCTGTAAATTTCATACTAATTATATTTGTGGTCGATTGACGCTAGTTTGGTACAAATCTGTGAGCATACATACGTTGGGAGACCTCCATTGTAAGTACTGAAATTAATAAACCCGAATTCCAAACAATTGGTAAGAGGCAAGGCGTGTTTTTAGCTAATGTTGCACTTCATTTTGGCCCGACATTTGTGTATTTATGTAACTGCAAATTTATTTGACACAAATCCAATTCAACAAGTTACCAAGTTGAATCTCAATTACCATACACGTATAGGTACTTACATACATAGCTACATAAACGAATGCATAGTACATAGGTGCATCGTTACATATTTATTTGCACGCACTCTGCTGTTAACGAACGGTTAATCACCGATTATCAAAGGTAGGGATATCTCTAACTATGTACATATGTACACACATATGTATCTATGGTAAACAATTGTCAACCCACAAGTAATGTGAGAGTACTTATTTCTGCGTCATCCATATATATATATATATATATATATAGATAGATACATACCTTAGTTAATCTCAATCATAAACATCATTAGATTTTAACATCCGTCCCTACCCATGCTAAATGTCCAGGTTGACCCGTAAATATGTACGGCTACAAAAGATAAGATGCTCCATTGTCCATGAAATTTGACTATCGTACAGAATACCTTTTCCATCCCAGAAACTTTAAATCAGTCTCCTCTTCTTCCCAGTTTAGTTTGTCCATTTAATATTCGCAGTCAGAATTTTTTAGCCCTGTTTCTTCCAGATTTTACGACTTTAATTTTTATAAAATTACACTACACTCTAGACATCAAGTTCGATATGAGTGAAATTCCTAACTTTGATGGTGGGAGGTTCAGTGTAAGCAAGTTAGTTAACTATTTCGAGGGTCGTAGTCAGGTTCAAGCTGGATTAGGGGGACGATACTATTTAAATGTGGGTTTTTCGCCAAGTGAGATTATCAAATTCGGAATAGTGAAGGATTACAGCCCCAACTTTGCACATCATGCAATTTTTACTACGAAGCTTAAAGGAGCATTTCGAGTCGATGTAAGTACTTGATCGAAAATGATTTTTCATATTTAATTCGTTATTCATATTGGAAATGTATTTAAATAAACCGTTACAAACGACTGTAACCAAGGGGTGAAACAAAGTCATGCATGTATTTGCATGTGATCATTATAACTTCGAACTCTGGGTACACAATAATTACTACTTTAATAATTATTACTATTTTTTTTAGTAGTGATCAAGATCAAACTTCTGCTTGTATTGTTCCCGAGTCTTGACTATCCAATTATTAATTCACCTTTAATCTCAATTATTTTCAAATGGCCCAAAAATAAGTCTACAACGACTAAAACAAAACTTTCGACATTTTTGACCTTTGACCTCGTCCCCACGGTCACGCGAGCGTCGCAGGTCAAAATGGTTGTGATTTCTAAAATCCCCGCTCAAAAATACGTCTAAAACCACTAAAACAAAAATTTCGACATTTTGACCTTTGACCTCGTCCCCACGGTCACGGGAGCGCCGCAGGTCAAAATGGTTGTGATTTCTAAAATCCCCGCTCAAAAATACGTCTAAAACCACTAAAACAAAAATTTCGACATTTTGACCTTTGACCTCGTCCCCACGGTCACGGGAGCGTCGCAGGTCAAAATGGCCTATCCCATTGGACAGAGCGTTGAAAACCCTATCAATTTGACACCTCACACGACCCATTTGTCATTTAAAATATTATGACCTTATGACCTGGCGCCGTGACCTTTTGACCTATGACCCCCAAATTCTAATCACTTCGTCCCCTTGGTGCAATGAGTTTATGTTCCAAATTTCAAGTCTCTATGTCATTGCGTTCGAAAGTTATAGCGCCAACAGACAGACAGACAGACGGACATAACGATCTTATAAAGGGGTTTCACCCCTTAATAAACCGCATTGCAATTAAAATTGCGAGTAAAAATTTTGCTTACCTAAGGAAATACATATGTACATAAGTATTTGTTATTTCTTGGACGAAGTGTGCACATTTTCTGCATTTTTTTAGCTTGAAGGAGTCGACTGTGCTGTCCAATTGAACACTGGACCAAATAAATTCAAAGGCAGGGTTCTATACTGCGGAGACTTGTCGGATTATACCGGAATGGTGCCACTGAGGAAGACGCTCTTATTTCTTGGAAAGAACACGAGCCATTCACTAATTTAACTCCCGGCGTTAAGGTTTTACTCATCATATTTACATATGCATATTATTATAGTGTTAACTAACAATGGAGGTCTCCCAACGTATGCTCACAGATTTGGACCAAATTAGCGTCAATCGATCACAAATATGATAAGAATGAATTTTGCAAATGGAACTATCTGTCAATGCGCAGGTTTGCAAAGATATTTGCATCCAAAGCGGGAAAAATGCGCAGCAAGTTTGGAAAATAAACATTTGCCAGCCTTTTGGCGCGTTTTGCCCCCTTTTAAATGCAAATATCTTTGCAAAACCTGCGCATTGGCAGATAGTTCCATTTGCAAAATTCATTCTTATCATATTTGTGATCGATTTACGCTAATTTGGTCCAAATCTGTGAGCATACGTTGGGAGACCTCCATTGTGAGTAATAATGAAGTATTTATAGGTCGAGGACATATTTAATGTACATCCTTATTCCGATCACTCTGTCCTATGTGTGACCAGAAAGGGGACCGTTGGTCATGAGCGGCAGGTTTCGGCAGCGACAATGAGTGATGCCTTTTTAGGCGAGGATTCATTCTTGATATCTACACACTCATTTGACGAGGGGGTAGGTGTTACCCCCTCGATGCGTGGGAGAGGTACGAATTCCTTATTTTAGTGCCATCAAATTTAGCCTTCAATTTTTATATACCGTAAATACTGTTTATAGCCATATTTTAATTATAGCCGATCTCCTAATATATGTAGTCGGGGCTCGGTGCAAATATCCCAAAATTTTAGCCGGGTCTCGGGACCAATATTTCAAAATTTTAGCCGGCTCTGTGGCCCTGAATTTTGCATTTTAGCCCAGGCTATAAAAAGAGTATTTACGGTACAAATTTGTGATTACTTACTACCACACACTCTAAATAACTAATAGTGAGAATAAGTAATTGAAGACTAATTGTCAAACACGAGGGTACCATAAATTTTGGTCTATTTTTGGGTAATAAATACGGAAATGTTTTGTCATCACAGGGAAATATTTCAAAAAAACGTGTGTACCAAATACACGTGACGTCGTTATTTTGAAAAAGTGGACGATTTTTATTATCCGACCGAATATGTATAAGATTTTTTACATTAAAGTGGTGAACATTGGAATAACGACGCCACCCCAGTTTGGTACATGAGTTTGAGACCTATTTACCGTTGATGACGAAATATATCCGTCATTGACAAAAATAGAACGGTATATTTAAAAACGATGTGACGATTTGGCTCCAAGTTATTACCTCACCCTGCGTAGCACGGGAGCTATTGAATTCCTCTTGTCCGTCCGTCCGTCTGTCTGTTGACGAGTTTTTTGCATCAATTGATGCGAATTAATATGTCCCTGCTCCATTATTACCAGCCTAAGCAGCACCATTAGTATCAGAGAATCGTGACTCAAAATGGTGCGAAATAATTGGGGGAATCGATGTGTTCTGCACCAATGGTTTAGATTAACCGCAAGTTATATAAAGTAAAACCTGACACAACATAACCTCGAAATCATGTCGAAATTGTGTCTTAGGTTTCCCGACTTCGTCTGCACCAGTGATGCAAAATTATATAATACTTATGCAGCTATTTTCCCCACTAATATGCACCAATGATGCAAAATTGTATAATACGTATGCAGCTATTTTCCCAACTAATCTGCACCAATGGTGCAAAGTTATATTAAACCATTATCACAGGGTGAGCTATTTCTAACGTTACTACGGTTTATTTATGGTGTGCATATATATATTATTAGGATAAGCCGCCATACACCGCATACCTCGTAAAAGAAGGAGCTCTGACGGGGACTTTAACCATCCCAACCCAAGACTACTCAATTGTTCCAGATCGTAGCCCAAAAGTAGCATTTCTAAGTAAACTCAAATAAGATTAAATAGCTTAAATCATTTATTATCAGTCGTAATTGCGTGACCTATTATTTTGCTCATAGATCAGAACAATACGAAGCTAGTAGTTGCTCGTTTTGGTTCGCCTACACTGAAAGAGTATGACATTGATTCGGATATCAAGAAGTTCATTAACACCGATAAGCAAATGGTGTTCCGCATACTTCCGCCTGCACGAGGCTCAAATTGGCGACATGTTATTTTCTATGGGGCACACAACAGTTCATCGTCATCAGAAATCTGCGCTGGGAAATGCGTCCTAACGATGAGAGAAGGCCGGAAATTACAATGTATAGACGGCAATCAAAATTTCACAACTGGGATTTATGACACCCCGCCGAAAGAAGTTTATTTAATCGGCAACTTCTTAATCATTAATCAAGGGGATAAGTGGATGGTAATTTAATTTGAAGCGTTAATGAACAAGATTGTACATATGAGTAATTGGAATCTGTAAATTTAGGTCCAAGTAGTATTTTCTGCACGCAAATTTGTTCAGTTGGTAAAAGCACCAACTCCATGTGGAAATTGTGCTACATGCGACGCGTATTTTGGTGGAACGACCTACGGACCTAAATCGTTGGACAGGCATGGTACATCAATCGAATGCAAAAGCTATCGTCCTGCGTACATGAAGTAACAGAAAGTCCATGTCCATAAATTTTCCAATTTTTTATACTTAACAAACCGCGTTCTAACTAGATAATAAGGAAATGGTGGTCTAGAAGAAAGGCCGACCTATTTATGTAACTTGTGAAGAAGGGTATTATTGTTACTAGCACAAGCAATTCATTTTGTTAGATAATTAAGTATATGCCTATATGCCTATACTGTGCTGGTAGCCGCACTATGTATTACCGCATGCCACCCAATCTTTTGCAACACTATAAATAAATGTGATTATATGTACCATCTGTAATTTACTCCATTTTATGTAAAATTTCCACTATTGTGTAAAAGTTACTGAATAAAAGTTAAGATTTATACAATTTTGAAAGATTTTTGCCCAACCTAGAGTAAATTTTACCTTTCTCACTTGTCAGTGTAAATTTTACACAATAGTTGTGCTAGTGTGCCATTGTTCTCAACTTTATTTACAGCGTACGTAATGCTGATACGAGACTAAATAATGCCTTCTCGCGTCGTGGAGGAATTGAGACACCCGGCTACCGCTGATAGTAATATTACCACACTCGCGGTAACACACTATATTTAAGATATTATTGCGGGATTTTTAAGCGTGACAGTGTGCATAAACGTAACCGGATTGGGAAACCTAACAGGCGCACTCCACCCTCGCCCTTTTTCTAAGGTGAGGCTATAGTTACGTTAAAAAACACCTAAGTAAGCATTCCGCATGGTTTTAAAAAGTGACACGGGGCCTTAACGTTGCCATTTCGCAACCGATTTTGATGAAATAAAAACCCAGAGTCATTTATGATCGAGTAGAATCTGAAAACGAACTAGGAGACAGGAAGTGCTGTCGGTTTCTGAGATATTCACCAAAAACCCCCTCTGAATTCGATCTCTGGTGGATTTGAAAAAATTAGGGGCTTAACTAAAAATTCTGTTCCAAAAATATTGAAGTAAATATTTTTGGCTACCGAACAAACTTTAGATGATCAAAATCGGATAAGAAATGAAAAAGTTTTCTTGATGGTGAAAATGGGTAGTTTGGAAATGCTTGAAAAGTTTTTGGTAAAGGTCGCACAGCAACAATCTTGGGGGATTTTACAATGTAACAAATGTTGTCGACGGATAAAAATATTGCGAGAATTCGTCGATTTTGCAAGCAAAATGTTATCTTTAAAGAGTACACCATTTGTAGTCATAATTAATGCGGTTAAATCGTCCAACTTAAAAAGCAGAAATGTGTTTCAAACATCGTCGGTGTATGGATCTTTCCTGGATGCTATGAATTTCCCAAACACTTTAGCGAACAGGATCCAATGTCAAAAAATTGTCGAATTTTGGGAAACGATAACGGTAATAGATACATATTTATTATGGTTTGTTTGTGTGTTTGATGTATAGCTGTATGAATGTGCTATGTTTATATGTATGTATGTGGGATTTATCTGTATGAATGTTATGTATGTACATATTATTAACCATGGGTCCAAATAAAACGCCTTGTGATGAGGATGCTGTACGGGAGCTTCATCGTATACGTCTTTTCAAAGTCGGAATAGTAAATGAAGACGAGGCGGAAGAAATATTAAACTGGATTTTAGATTTTCCTGAATGTGTTAGTTGTAGGAAATGGGTTTGTCAGTGTATTTGTCGCTTATAAATCTTTACAATATTGTACAATAACTTTTATTGTTGAAGTTAAATTAATTAATTTCAAGAAATACAAATTTGCATAATATCGTAGACATACATAAAAGACTTTGAAAATGTTATAGAACTATTCCCATATTTTGCCACTACCAGCCCTTATTTAGTTACATTATTATTTTATCATGGTTTTAATCTAATTTTGAGTTTCAGATGTCCAACTGTGGTATTTGGTTTGTTCCAAGAGGTATACAATTTGATTCATTAACTAATCAATGTTTTTAGCTCCAAGAAAAGCGTATCGTGCCAAAGTTCAAAATTTTCTACATTTTTATATTCTACAATAAACAAGGTAGGTGTCTTTGAATACGTTTTTGTATTAAAGTCATCGAGAAAAGGGTGTCCCTAGTCATTAATAGTGTCTCATTTGAGTGCACTCCGGGTAGGAGTTAAGTACAAGGAATTTTTTTCCCAAATGAGATACTGACTGGGACAGGTAGTGGCAAAAGTAAGGTTCAGGAATAGATCATAATATTTGGTGATTCTATTCTTATGCAAAGGAATAGGAGCATCTAGCATTCACAACTCATATTTGCAACAACAACCCTTAATATTATCAATGAAAAGTTTAAAATAAACTAAACCCAAAAAAGGAATGCTTAGGTGAGACTACTGGTGCGATTAAAAGTATAAAATAACCCCCTACCCCACCCCCCGCCCCCACCGCCGGAGAAAAGATTTTGTATCCCCAGCATCACCGCCCTGGGAATAATTTTTTGACGGAGGTTGTGCAGTATGTTACTTACAAAGATTCAGAGATATAGAATTTCTTGATTTGGTTACAATTAATTAATTCAATTTCCTAGAGGTGGAGCGTAATGGAGTGGTGGCGTGTAGCGTGGAGACAGTGAAACCTGAATTACGATTGGAGCCTTTATGCGAACTATGTTCTCAAATTGGGTAACGTTTTCATTGAAAATTAAACTTACACTTGAAATACAAAACAATTTAATATTCATTTTTTGCATTGATCTTTCAGGAAATAACATCAGAAATAACACCAGCAGTGCACAAACTTTGTCAGATATACAAACTCAGATGCACAAACTTTGTCAACATATATAATACGTATTAAATAATATGTGTGATACAATTTTAAATTTAAAACTAAAATAAATAACGTTCATATTCTAATAATAAAATAACAAAAGTTTCATCATTTTTTATTTATTAAGATATGTATAAGGAAGTAAAAGTTTGTGACGGTGATTTAAATTTGTGTTATGTGTATATACTTAGAAACATTCAGAGGCATCAATCATGTTCTAATCATATTTTAATAAAATATAAGTTAAAGTTTGACCAGTGATAAATTATTTAGGGATTACCGAGCAAAAAATTATTCCCAGGGCGGTGATGCTGGGGATACAAAATCTTTTCTCCGGCGGTGGGGGCAGGGGGGTGGGGTAGGGGGTTATTTTATACTTTTAATCGCACCAGTAGTCTCACCTAAGCAGTCCTTTTTTGGGTTTAGTTCATCCTTGTCACACTCCACACTTCTCATTGGAAATAAAAGAGTAAACGGACTCCAGAAACAACTCATCCTGTAAATGGGTTCGGGGACATTCACATATTACGCGTCTAAAAACGCAAATTTTTAAACCACCCACCGGCCCCTTCCTATTCTACTGGTGTCAACCTTAACGCGAAGTAGATAGGCTGCTTAAAGCCATCCACCCACCTTTTTGATGACGTAATATATTGTATGGACGTTCAAATGTACTCATGAATAACTCTATGAATCCATTACGTACTAGCAACAGGAATATTCATAATTTTAGTGGATGGGTGGTTTAGGACTGCCTATCTTTCTCTTGTTAAAATTCCCTACCCCTTCGTTACTACGTTGGGTTCGTGGGTGGCTGCTACATTCGAAAATTTTTGATGACGCATGCAATATGTGGATGACCCTGTCTGTATTTCCTAACATGCAAGTTTAGTAAAGGAGATGGTACACCAAAGCGTAATTTGTATACATTTTCATAAGAAATCTTAATCCTTTCCTTCAGCCAATGATTGGATGGGAAGAGTGGTGTATCCATGTACATACTTAACGGCTGTATTTGGCATTTGGGCCCTTATCGTTTCAGTGAAAGGGTTATAACTTCTGCTCCCAAACGTTTTCCCTTAGGTACGAATAACCTATGTATGGTGAAAGAGGAATACTGAGCAACTAGATTTTTCGTGTAAGAAATTAAAATATATGATTCGTCATACTTGTAATACGTACGTACTAGTTTTTATTGTTAATCAAACAGATTATTGGATACAATAATGGCTGACGAAGCAAACCCTGGGACCTTGGAAAAACAACATCCATTAACAAACTATGTGGTAAATTCGCTCATTTTCCACATATCTATTCTTCACATTTATGTATGTAATCAGATAATACTTATGTAAGTACGTGTGAAATATTCGTCTAGATTGTTTCAAAACTGTTTGAAATAATTAGCCAATCATGCACTACTCATTGGGGTAGGCAGGAAATGGTCAATTTGTCTTTCCAGTGGGCGACCGAGGCGAGGAAATATATTCACCAGCGAGACGAAGCCGGTAAATTTTTCTTTCTGGATTCCTGGCTCTCGTGGGAGCTAAATAATGGTGAGGGACTCTGCAGAAAGCATGTGGTCGATTGGAGGGGGATAGTGGTCAAAGTAGGCAGGTCGTGGGTCCGTTTATCGGTGGTAGCAAGGGTTCAGCCCAGCCAATGCTAGCCTTGGGTTTTGCGGGTTTTGGGGCAATAAAAATGACCAATACCCTCGGGTAGTCGGGTTTTTCAAATTTCGTGAAGTATGGTAACCGTGCTTCACCAACACTTCTACAATTTAATAAATCATTAAAAGAGAATTAACCAGCAGTTTTGTTGCGAAATTGTTGAAAAACAGAGTGTTTTCAAAACTTAATACATTCTTGAGGTCGACACTCAGTTTGCCGCCAAAACCCCGAGTACCCACCCTGACTACCCGCAAAACCAAGGTAAAACCCCTGGGTATGTGTTTTCAATAGCAAAACCCTGCCGTTATCTTACCCTAGTTAAGGCATCCTATCTTTCTCACGTTAATTAACATTGGGCGTATAGGTCACACCAGGGGGTAGGGGTCAAAATTCTCCAAAAATGGATAATTCGATTGTAAATGTGGCCTTGTGTAATTTGGTGTTACTGGATGCAGCTCTTGGTTCCCGCGTTACGGATATACTACCACCTGCCCTCTGGCCACCACTGGGGCCATGCGTGACAAATATTGACGCGCCCTGGACCTGTTTGACAAAAGTAAATGCTGGCAAAATTTCAAAACTTCTGCCCCATTTAGAAATGCTGATGTCCGCCGTGGTATTCTCGAAAAGTGGGTTGGAGAATGGTGAGTGCATCATGTATACATTACATACCCTTAATTCGCACACAATTGAACTTTTACACAAATTTAGAATTGTGACAAACCACGCCACTGCCGATCTCAACGTCTCCATTCAGCATAATTTGAAGGAATTTGAGACTGAAATTCACGTAGTTTCGCAATTCCTGTAAAAGTTGATATAAATATGTGCGAATTATGAGTAGGTCCTGTTGTTGACTAACTTTATAGG